TTCTGTAAGGGCATATATTTTTTTTTAAATTCATTAGAAAAAAAATACTTTTAATTTAGATAATTTTTTTCCTCTAATATAAACGAGTTAAAAACTATTAGTCATTCGTAGGTTTTGTTACAATTCTAATATATTATTTCAAATGGAGATAAATTTTATCGTCTATATTTATTTTTATATTTGAATAAAGAAATATTCGATGACTGGAAGAATAACCTTTTGATGTCAATGATAAATAAGTAATAATCGATACTTGTAGCGTCCACGTTTTTTTTATCTCTTTTCGTTTATTCTATATTATTTATGCATGGTTAGTCAAATAAAAGAACGAATAATCCTTCGATTATTATATTCGTATCATTTACATGCTTATCGATAATGTTCGTTATGATAAGAGCAAATATATAAAGGATATTTTTATTTTATATATTGATGTTACACATAATACAATGATTTTGAATATTTTTCAGATCAATAGTAAATAACAAGACGTGAATTAATTTTATTCATGTCATTACCATTAGTTTCACCATTATCACCGGATACGAATAAAGATGTAGCAGAATTAGCTAAATTTTTTAATGAAACATTAGGTTTTTGTCCAAATAGTGTACTTACTATGCAACATAGACCGGCTATTGCTACTGCATTTATTCAATTAAATAAAGCTGTTATGGCTAATCAAGGACGTGTAACAAGTGCATTAAAACGACTTATTGGTTATGTTTCAAGTACAAAAGCAGGTTGTCAATATTGTCAAGCACATACAATATTAGCAGCGGAACGTTATGGAGCTGAAGATGAACAACTTGCAAATGTATGTCAATATTCTACACATCCATCTTTTAATGATGCTGAACGAGCAGCTCTTGATTTTGCTCTAGCAGCTTCTTCTATTCCTAATGCTGTTAATATTCCAATTACTGAAAATCTACGTCAACATTGGGATGATGGTGAAATTGTTGAAATTCTAGGTGTAATTAGTTTATTTGGTTATCTCAATCGTTGGAATGATTCTATGGGTACAAGTATTGAGCCAGGTGCTATAAAAGCAGGTGAAAAACATTTAACAAAAAATGGATGGTCACCTGGAAAACATTCATCTTAAAAATTCAACAAATTATTTGAAATAGTTTTTGTATTGAACTTTAGTAGAAATATAATAAAATTTATTTAGAAATAATCTATTATAATGAATAGCATTCAGTTTTCTTGGAAGGCTTTTTCGAATGCCCATCTAAAGATATCCTATGCGAGAATAACGAAAAAGAATCTTATCATTAGTTTTTAGATTATTCTCGAAGTATACTACCGCTCGAAATTTTTTATTGATATGCAAATATGTCATTGAAGCCATCTATAATCAATTATGTCTTCATTAGTCACTTTGTCAACCAATATATTCTCTTTTCAGTTCTTTTGTATGTAAAGTGAACTAAAATTTTGTTCTGTATTTGCAATCCTTTTATAGTTTTTAAATTGAAGAAAAATGCGTGAAATAATTCATATTCAACTCGGTGGATGTGGTAATCGAGTTGGTTCTAAAGTATGAAACTTATATTTAAAATCTATCTATGGAATTTTATCTATAATTGATTAAGTTTTGGAAAACTATAACTGATGAACATTGTATTGATTCTACAGGTATTTATTATGGTCAATTAGATGAAAGTTTTGAAGGTATTAACGTTTATTTCAATGAAATATCAAGTAGGTGAATATAGGATTAAAATTTCATTTAACATTGTTCAATTTCAGAAGGAAAATATTGTCCTCGTGCCATTCTTGTTGATCTTGAGCCTGATGTTATTAATACATTACATAATGATTCATTTGACAAATTTTTCTGTTCAGATAATATAATCTGTGGTTTGATATTATTTTTATTAAATGAATACAAAGATATTCTATGTATAGGTAAAGTTGGATGTGGTAGCAGTTGGAGTTCTGGTTTTTATAACGATGATGCTGAAGTAATTGATCAAGTCTTAAATACAATTCGTAAAGAAAGTGAATTATGTGATTGTCTTCAAGGTTTTCAATTGACTCATTCTCTTCTTGGTGGTACTGGATCAGGTTTTGGATCATTACTTATTGATAAACTTCGAGAAGAATATCCTGATCGTATGTTTACATCAGTTTTTTTTAAAATATAATATAAAATTGTTTTTTCTAGGGGCCATAATGACATTCAGTTCCTTGACATCATCTGAGACATATGAACATCTAATTGAACCATACAATATTGTACTTTCCATACAACATTTAATCGAAAATGTTGATGCGACTTATTTTTTCGATAATGAAACATTACATAAAATATCTTCTCGTACACAAACATCACCGACTTACAATGATTTAAATCAATTGATATCAACTGCTATGTCTGGTATAACAACATGTTTTCGTTTTCCAGGTATGTTCGCATTTACTTCTATTAATAAAAAACTCAAAAATATATTTTAAATGTATATACCCGAAAGATATCTGTAGACGAGTGAAAAACAGAAAATCTTCAATTCTTTCTAGATCAGATCAATGGCGATATGCAAAAACTAAATAATCATATGGTTCCATTCCCACGTTTACATTTCTTAATGTCCAGTTATGCTCCAATAATTTCTCAAACTTGTATACAAAATAATTCAATACCATTATATCAATTGATTGAAGAAATATTTGATAAGAGAAACATGTTGATACCTTGTGATTTGCAGCAAGGTCGATATCTAAGCGCGACAGCAATCTTTCGTGGTCGTAATATGACTATAAAAGAAATATATGAACATATATTTAATTTACAAACTAAAGTTAAGAATATAAAAACTACTTTATGTGAAATTCCATTGAAAGATTTGGAAATATCATCAACATTGATTGGTAAAATATATTTTTTAATAGATTAGAATGAAAATAAATATATTTTATTAGGCAATCACACATCTATTCAAAATCTATTGAAATATGTCTTAGAAAAATTTTCGACAATGTTTCGTCGAAAACTTTATGTATTTGGTTTTTGTCGTTCAGGTATGGATGAAATGGTAAGTTTCGATCTTTATGATTTTCGTATCAGTACTATGATTTATACACAGGAATTTACTGAAGCTGAATCAAATTTAAGAGATCTAATTGATGAATATCAAGAAATTCAAGATGGAAAAACAGAAAGTAAGAGTATATCATTTATTATATGAATTTATTTTAATTACAATTATAGATAACGAAGAGGACTAAGAATTTGGACAAACGTGTACAATAGATACATATTCTCATTATACTTCACAATGAACTCTGTTTCTTATATCATCTCTTACTGATTCATATTTTTTTCTATTATATAATAAAATATAATATTCTAACTAAAACTTGTTATGATTTATACCGCCTGTTACGATCGCAGTGAAAATTTAAACTCTAATAAGGATAATTGCTAGAAGTCAATTGGAAGCTTTTGAGCTCAAATGATTGCTTCTTTATCAAAATCTTACGTTTCCAATAGAACGTTACATGCTGGAGACATATAGAAAGCGAAGCAATCATTTCTATTTGAAACTTTTATACTAATATACAAAATTTTCAATCGCTGCGAGTGGTTTTCATGTAAAACAATCAGTACACTTTGTTGATATCGATTGATTTAAAATCATAGTGACGAAAGGCAAACTTGAATTTGAATTATTTGTGGATTATATAAAATGCTAAGATTGACATTTCGATGAGTATTCATCCAATCTGTTGATATTAAATATTTCTTATCTGGTTTTCTTAATGGTTTCGATAAATAATTTGTTGTGAATTGTCTAACTTCCTATCCATCATCAATAACGCTGAAATCCACACTTTTTGCCCTTACATGTATCAATAAAATGATGTAGTTTTTGTCTCGTAACTAGGATTGAGAGATAAAGTAAAAGTATTGAATTCCTTTTCGCTATCTCGATCAAATTCATTTGATTACTATTGATCCACTGAGGCTAAAAAGAAAAATAACATAGATATGATCTGGAAAGTATCTAGATGAATTGCATTCACTTTACCAGTAAATGATGAATACCAAAGATATTCACTCAAATAAATTATTAAAAAAGATAAAATGGTTGTATAGAATTATTGATTAATCTTTAAAATGTGAGTTTTATTTCATTGTAGCCTAATGACGTCATGTGTTGTTGTTATTTATGAAGGACTTCTATTGGCAGTAAAATATCTTTTACTGCATATGGATCTTTTTTATAATAAAATTTCTCGTATACATTGCAGTTATTTTAAAATATGCCGTTGAATATTCATTTATGCTCTGCGTAAAGAACGCAAAAGAAAATAAACTACGCCGTATAGCTAATAGACTCGACTGATTCTTTCCACGTGCGTTATTCTCAAGTGAATATAACTTTTTTTTCCTTTTCTACTTACTAAATACTAGGAGTCTCATTTTATAGTTATCGTTTATCAGACAATAATATCATGTCTGTTTTGAAATTGGAACATTTAGCAAATGAAATACTCTACACAATTTTTGATTATCTCGATGGTTTTCATCTCATATTTGCATTTCGTGGACTTAATTCTCGTTTTACTTCTCTTATAAATCATATTCATCTTCATATCAATACAACACATTGTCGAAAAATTGATTTTAATTATCTCTTCGATGATATTTTTCCATTTACTACGAATATCTTTTCTTTAACAATATCAAACAAGCATACTCTCGGTCCAATTGAAATATTTCTCAATCGACATCTTGATTTAATTCCACATAATCAACTTAATCATCTAAAACTTATAGACATCGATCCACAAGTATTGAATACATTTCTAAAAACTATACTTCCAAAACTTACGCGTCTTGTTTCATTAAATATTACGAATTCGATAACAAAATTTCGTTATGATTTACCACTAGAAACTATAAATGTTTCATTACCAGCATTTAAATATCTTTCATTATCAATTGAACAAAATTCATATTATCCGCATGTTCCATTTTTCAATGAACATATGCTTATGCATCGAATGGAATCAATGTTATCGACTGTTACACATTTATCGCTCGAATATTCTCCACGAGATATTGTTGGATTAACTCTTCTATTTGAGAAATTAAACAAAATTGAATATCTTCAAATTACACTCGATATCGATGATGAAGTTGCTCGTGCGATTGGAAATCCTTTCATATCGAATTCTCCATTGATTAGAGATCATGGACAGCATCTACGATCATTTATTATTCAAATTGGATATCATATATTATTTGTAGAAATTGCAGCGTTATTAACTCATTTTCCACAATTACAAATATTATCATTGGCAACACAAGAATTTACACATGATATTCAATTTTATGATGGTCAAGCATGGGAAAAATTAATACAAACATCGCTACCTCGTTTAACTTCGCTTCGCTTATATATTTTTCTAGATTATCTTTCTTCTAATCCTATTCTACATGATATTATCAATCGATTTCGTACTCCATTCTGGTTAAATGAGAAAAAATGGTATATTGTAGGTGATCAATTTTCTAATCGTTCCTTACAAATCTATACCATACCTTGTCCGAAAAAAAGTATTGTTATTCTTAATAATACATCAATAGCATGGGATACTACTCTACCTTCAATCAATCTATCGACATTTCATTGTATTACTTGTCTTAAAATATATATCACTAAAATTGAATCAAATCCCATATTATTACCATATTTTAATAATGTTAAATCAGTTAGACTTCTAACATTACCAAGTAAAGATCATTATTTATCACAATATCTAAATTTATCGAAACTTGAAACGGTTACTATTGAATGCTAATTTTAATGATGGAAACACCAGTTGATTATTGTTTGTTTGTAATCACTATATTTTCTCTATTTCTACCGCACACATCATCGAAATGTACTTTTATAATAAAGCGAATATTTTTTTTAAAGAATAATCTATATTTAATTAGAGCCAGGGGAATGTCTTTTTGATTGCTTTCTAGGATCAGGTTTAAGGGATTCAAATAGTGTACCAAGATGTTAACACTACACAAGACTTTTGAAAAATTGTGGAAGGATCACTCCATGTGTAGTGTAGTTTTCCTTGTATATTTAAATAGCTATTTACTATTGTCATCCAAAAAAAAATCAATTAACCACTTAAAGCAAGTATATTATTGGTTTTATAGTGTCCATTACAGTTACTGATTGCGACAGCCTTGTGTACGAATCTATGGTTTATTTTGAAATATATTGCTTCCAAAACCGACACGATTAGTTCTGTAAATCTCAATAAGATACGCATTATACTCCAACAAATGTCTTCCAGAAGAAATACTAGTAAAAAACTTGTTAGCTATCGCAGTTCGATAATACCCCGCAATGCTCTTAAATAAATTCATCAACACTGTGCAAGCATGTTCGAGATCTTTTATGGGATCTTGTTCAACCGTATAGATCCCGTCACTACGGATAGGTTACATTGATACAAACTCATTTGTGTATCTTTATACCATACTCGTGTGATTTTTCGGAAATATATTTTTTGAAGCAAAGCCTGCCTCGCAGTTTCCCTCTGAACAGCCTAACTTACTTCGAATTTTTCTTATCATTGTTTCGAAAAATGCCAATAGCAATCAATAAGATCGATTATATTATTTCTAAATACAAATTGTTTTTTCTGACAAGTCTATGCTCTCTCTAAGAACCCTTCATTGAATTTTGACTCTACATCATTATTAGTGAATTCCTCATCGGAACTTTCAAATTCGATATTCATTCGATCAAAACCGTCATCCAAACAGTTCATTTCATAGCATAAAGCTAACATTGTCTTCTTTATAATTTTTCAAGCAATATGTCAACTATTTCAGTTATTTGTATACGGAAAAACACAGGAATATGGAAGAAAAAAGTAGTTTTAATTATTACTTCGTCGATTGTAAAAATGCAAAGACGAGAGCAATAAATAATCAATAGAAAATTAATGAAGGCATCATTGAATATATTTTTTGTAGAACTAAATTGTTTATCAAAATGAACATCTGCAAAAGTTTTCCAAAAAAAACTGAATCCTGTTGAATATATTACATACAAAATATATTTCTAACAATAAATATTCTATTCTTTCTCAATGGATTTGATGTAGCATTTGACGTCATTCCCTGACCTTCTCTCTTTTTATTTTTCTAAAAAATCAAGATAAATATTATTGCGAAACAATTTACGCCTGTTTTTTAGTCGACATAGATTTTATATCAATACCAAATAACTCTCTCGCATCTGCCAATATTTTATTGAACATTAGCTTTGAAAAAAAGGAAATAAAATTAATATCACTATTGATATAGGATGTTTTTTTTATTGTTTTAAATTCTACAAAATATTTTAAACTGATTATTTCAGAGAAGACTTGTTTTTATTTTACTCATACAGAATTATTTCTATTTAATTCACTAGAAGTAAAGAATATATATCATTTTAAAGTTAGATTTAATCATCTCGAATAAGAATGAATCAAAACTTGTTTTTTTTATTTTGATTTGAATTGACGAATTAATAGAATATTTTATGAGTTAATTTATGTTTTCTATAATTATATCAATATTCGTCAACAATGTGGGAGACAAAGAGTCTTTTTTATCGATTTTAGATTGTAAAAGTATTCAAGATCACATAAAACAACAACTATGAATCTCAACAACAGTGTTGGACCTGATGAAGTAATTTATTAAGTAAAAAAAGTAATTTTTTTTTATTTTTTGAATATTTTAGTTGGCAGTAATTAACTCTAGTACAACACGACTAAGAAGATTGTACGTATATATTGTGAATAAAAATAAATCATCAAAAAATATGTATTATTCTAGCTATGATCATTTTCGCAAGGGAAAATTAATTTGGAGAATATGTCTCATTATTTTAATTGTTGTGATTATAGTTGTTGTAACAACGACTGTTTTACCAAATAAAACTAAACGAGAAAAAACATCAACAATAGAGATAACAACACCAACATCAGCATCAACAACATCATCAATATCATCAACAACAGCAGCAACAACAAAAAAGGTCACAACAGAGCTATCATCAACATCATCATCATCATCACCAACAACAGCAACAAGCGGTATGATTTTTTTGAACCTACTGAGTTCCAGAATTTTGCCAATTTGACTTTGAATTCGATGCAGACTAAAAAACTTTTCTTAGCTACACTAATGAGTGAAAGCTATCATATATCCTATAATAATATTGTTTCGTGACAACTGGCGATAGTCTTATTGGCGGACGTTCCGTCATCGAAACTAGTTAGTTTCTTATTTAAAATAATTCTTAAAAGAGAAAGTAGTTTTTCTTTATTCAGTCTTAGATATTTTATTCGAATAATCACATAAAATAGTTTAATCTTCGATAATTGATAGTCACATATTATACTTTATTTTTAAGAAATAATTTTTAGATCGAAAGAAAAGAAAAGAAAATTGAAATGCTTTTTTAAAATATTTTATAAAATAATTAATTTCTTCTTTAATAGATAAAAATATGAAATGGAAACAGAATGCAATTACTGTTGCTGGAGGATCTGAAGGAGGAAGTGCATCAAATCAGTTAACGAATCCTTATGGTATTTATGTTGATGATGATAATCATTGTATTTATATTGCTGATACTGGCAACCATCGTATTGTTAAATGGGAATTTGATTCAAACGATGGTGTAGTTGTTGGAGGTGGAAATGGAGATGGAGATGGAATGAATCAGTTAAATATCCCAACAGATGTAATTCTTGATAAAGAAAAAAAATATCTCATCATTTGTGATCGTGGTAACCAACGAGTGATGAAATGGTCTCTTCAAAATAATCAAGATCAACAAATATGGATATCTGATATTTCGTGTCGGGGTTTAGCAATGGATGATAATGGACATCTTTATGTGTCTAACTCAGCAAAGCGTGAAGTCAGACGTTGGCAACAAGGAGATTCAAAAGGTATTCTTGTAGCAGGTGGAAATGGACAAGGAAACCAATTAAATCAACTCAATCAACCTAATCGTATCTTTGTCGATGAAGATCATTCAGTTTATGTAGCAGATACTTTCAATAATCGTGTAATGAAATGGGAGAAAAATGCGAACGAAGGTATTCTTATTGCTCCAGGACAGATTTCTAATGAAAATCATAATACAATGGTGAACCCCACAGGTGTGATTGTTGATCATATGGGTAATGTTTATGTGTTGACGATCGAAAATAATCAAATAATGCGTTGGTCACCAGGTGCAAAAGAAGGTGTCCCTGTCGTTGGTGAAAAAGAATCTGGAATCGAATCCACGCAGCTCCAGGATCCTAAAGATTTATCATTTGATCGAGACGGCAATCTTTATGTTGTCGATCACAAGAACCATCGAATACAAAAATTTGATGTTGATCGTGACTAAAACGAGTTTTTCAATTATAAAATGACTTTTAATAAATAATTCGTTTTTGTCACTTGTCAAGTATTTTTCATTAACAATCAATAAAGTTCATTAAAAGTATAAATAATTCAATTTATTATTCATTTTGTATTTGTAAACACAGCCATATCAGATTTTCTTCATGTCTATAATTCTTTTATCAATCGATACAACAAAATGTTTCAATAAAAATACGATTTATATTTCTATGTAGTGAAAATTAGTGAAAATATCGACTCGGTCTTCAAATCTTTTGTATCAACATTCATGTATATTTGCAAAACTTTTAAAGTCATACATTAGTTTTATTTGTATAAAAAGTATTTTACAATTTCGATTAAGAAAATCTTAAAGTTTTCATGGTATTCTTGAGTTTTTATTAAAAATACTAGATTTGGAATAAACATAATTATGCCTGTTATATAATATATAAATTATTGAAATAGAAGGCGATACAATCTTCCTATTGTAAAAAATATTCTTCTTAGGATGTGGATGAAATAGAAGGCTCACAGTCACACCCACCCACCCTCAAGATATAAAAGAGCGCTGTGTATAATATTCTTCAACGAAAAGTTGAGTGGTAAGATTGATGACATAATCTTCTCATTGTTCATGAAGTCCAAGATGTTGAAGTGATGCGTATACTGTTCCACAAACTGCCAAATGAGATTCAAATATGGATTTTTTTCCAAACACTTGCTTGTCAATGTAAACAATATAGCTTTTGATAAAATGAAAACATCAAGTGATGGGAATATCATATTATCCATAATCGAAAATCTAGAGATAAATTAGTCATGTAAATCATCAGTTTACACCTTTAGTCATCTATTTATTATTGGTATCTATAAAAACCTCTACAACATGGGTACTTTTCGTTAAGTGTTGGTGTAGATGTGGTTCTTTTGATATCTTTCATAAAGTTACCAAAGGTGCGTGTACAATAAAAATCGCATTAATGAGTATTATCTAATTTACTATTTAAATCGGATATGAAACCGAAGATTACAAACAAATTTATTTCAGATGTATCAATCAAAACTACATCTTCTCAATAAAATAATGAAGGAAAAATTTATTGATAAAGTGAACGATTCGAAAATCGATTAATAAAATCTCTATTTTCTATTTATTAATAATGATTGATTCATAACTCGGTGGTGGTTCCATCTCATCGACGATATGATATATATTTTTATCATCATTTCTTTCTTGTATTTGATTTTCATAATTTAATTGTGTACCAACAATAACTGGAAGATTAACTTCAAGTTTAGTAAAAAGACCATGTGGTTTTATTGTTAATATTAATTCATATTCAATAGTAAGATGATATTTATGATTATGCCATGTTGTTTCAAATAAATATGTAGGTGCTATATAATCTTTAGGTAAAGGTAAATCAAAATTTTGTTGTAAACTAGCACCATCAAATTTATAAAAACCAGGTAAATCAGTAGATAAAATGATTTCCTGATGACGATCTACAGCAGTTTGTCGATGTTGAATGAATTCAGCTTGAATTCGTTTGATTTTGGTACGTTCCGGATTTTGAAGTTTAACTTGAATTGAAAATGAGTGACCAGGAATAATTCCATTACGTAAAAGATAACCTTCAAATTGTAATTGTTTTCGATTTTGTTTATTAAAATAAATTGTTTTTTGTGCATTATTGATATGATACAGATTTATTTGAGGACAAACTGTAAAATAATATTCATCAGTTTGATTCTGTTTATACCATGGTGTATTGAGAACAATTCGAATAAAATATCTTATATTAGGATATGATGCTAGATTTGGTTTTGTTGATGGAGGTAAAGTTTCTGGAAGGGAAAATTCAAAAGGCCATGTATATTCTCCACGAGAAAGAATCATTTGACTCTAAAAATAAAATGAAAATAATTCGATATGTTTTTTGTTTTAATGAAATTTTATATAACTTGTTCATGATTCGATTGAGTTAAAGGTAAACATTTCGTTAAAAATGGTATGTAACAACATGATTCATGATAGTCTGTATTTGAATCTTTATTTGTACGTGTTTCATGCTCTGTATAACCAAGTTCACCGATAAGTTCAATAAAAATCTCATTGCATTTTAATTTTTCATATGTATTATCAATTGAAATATTGCCTGATACTTGTTCACCAGTAAAATAAAAACGATCCGATCGATTGAAATTTACTTGAAGATCAACACTTTTGCCTACGCCCATTGATTTTATTTATAATATGATTGCATTTTATATTCAAAAAAAAAAAATAACAACCACGATATATCTATCTCTATAGAAAAGAAAAACAACGTCTACATGTACATCAATAATCAATTAGAAATGAGTCATTGCAACCCTTTTTTTCTCCTATTCTTCAAAATAATACGCTGAATATTATATACACAGATAAATGTAATAATCACGTGATTTCTTATTATTAATAGGTAATAAGCAAAATATTCAGTTTCGATAATTCGAAAGACGATAGTGATAATATAAAATCAAGTAAATTTCAAAAAAGAGTATATTGATATTTGAAATACTTTTGACATGATTAATCGAAAAAGAACGATTATTGATTGAACCCACAAGAATTTAACGTCATAAAATTTCTTTTTTCTCCATAAACAGCACATGTGCTTATGCTGCATGATAGTTGTTCTCTTTCTCCCTGATGAATTCATTTGTATGTATTCACTTTCTGTCTCTAAAGCATTTGTTGCAACGAACAATTGTGTACATTTATTTCTTTATATTTTATTAAAAGACCACTGTAGTTCATAAAGAATCACTTCAATCAACGATAAAATTAGGTATTTTTTCTGCCACTCCATCATTGAATATAAATTTATCGTTTCCTTTGGCATAGACAAGCCATTTCAATATGATTATGAACACAGTAGTCGATAAACAGCAAAATGTTAATCAATCTTTTCAAAGGTAGGAAATATATTTCTAAAAATATCTCATATCTGATATATGTAGTTGTTTGGAATCATTACCAAATGAACTTCTATTCATGATCATAGTTCATTTGAACTCATCAGATTACGTTCACGCTTTCTATGGTCTCAATCATCGATTTAATTTAATAGTCACTCAATCAGTTCATCATTTTATTATTTCCAAAGATCATTCAACCACGGGATTTGATGAAAACAAATCACATATTAATAATGCTATTGGAAAGATCTGTTTCGATGTAGAACTATTACCGCAAGTCTTTTTACCTACATACTATTATTTCAATCTTCATTCAATTGTACTTCGTTGTTCGGAATTAGTCACCGTTCATCTCAATGTTAATTGTGATTCTATTAAAAATGCTATTCGCTCATGTTTGAATGTATTTCGTATCTGTAATATTTTTTTCGCTGACTGGAATAATGATAATTGGTTTTATAATAGTCATTATTGCAAAGGACTTGAGACCGATGCTCCGGTGAGTATTTTAAGACATAATCAGATATTTACCACTTCGATAATTATGAGTTTTAGACAGCAACAATACTGAATGGATTGACCTGCTCAGCGATAGTACGTTTATCTATTAATAGCTGTTCTGAACAAATTTTATTTTCTCTATGCACTTGTGCTCCTAATTTGATCTACCTGAAAATCAAACAACTCATCTCGACTGATGATAACTTGAAAATCAATACTGTTTCGACTCTGATTCCTCAATCATCTCTTCTGAAACAGTTATATATTACTGCAAACGCTCATCGTTTAGATAATATTCATTTAGTCGGAAGATTAATCGATTATTATCGATCTTCTCTGGAACATTTGACATTAGAGATTTCGTTAGATAATCAAATTGATGGATATCATTTACAGACAATACTTGAATCATGTCGATATCTTCAGAAATTTTCATTTATTTTCAATTACTGGCACGAAGAAACGGAAAAGATTGATGTATTGCATCAATTTCAGAGTGACTGGTGGTTAGATTCTCATCGACCACCGGTGCTTATTTTCTATGGTAATCATTGTGAAACTATGGTCGTCTCTATGCCTTGTTATCTAGATGATTATACATGGTTTCCAATCGATCCAAAAGATTGGCTAGTGAATAAAGGTCAACTCGATTCACCTGATATTCATTTTAGAAAACAAAAGTGCATTAGATTTACTAATAGCAATCGTCAGCTTATCACTCTTGACTTAGTTCGCATTATTGGTCATGTATTTCAAGCACCAAAACAAGAGCTTTCCATCCCACATTGGGGATTTGTCTCGCCCGATCTTCTTATTGAACACGTTAGTTTTTCATTTCATTTTCTCTTTGTTCTTCATTTTATTATTCTGTAGTTACTCAATACAAGATCTGAAGATCCAATGTTACCAATGATCCATTCTCTTGATTTAAATTCATGTAATCTCGATTTATTAGATGCGAAGACACTCATCATATGGCTTTTGTTAACACCTAATGTTAAAATATTGAATATATGTCAAGGAACTCCTGCTACTAAGATACAATTGGCTAATCGATTAAAATTATTACTTGAAGAAGATAAACGTCTTAAGTTTATTACAGATTCCATTGAAGAAGTTCAAGTTTTTTACATGTTTGATTCTCTTAGTTTTACTACGAAACAACATATTTGTCAAATGTATTCGAATATATTTCGAAAACCTGTTATTCGTCGTTGATAAAAATGCGGATCAATTGATCGCATTTATCAACTTCTTTCACTTGAAAAGTTGTGACTGCTTTTTCTAAGATTATATCATTTTTTTCGAATAAAAAGAATCAAAGAATAACAAATTATGGTGGGTGTGAGTGAAGTTATATTATTACTCATCCTCCCACAGTGTTCCCCTTCAAGATGATTGTATAGCATAATAAAGTGAATCAAATGAATTTCAGTTAATTGATTTATTTATAGGGAAAGTAAGCGTCATGAAGGGCCATCTATTGACGCTAACAAATAGAGAAGAAAATAAAAATGAAGAAATTAATGAGTTGTGCAATATCTTAGTCATGTGCAGTATGACGTGTAACGATATGAATCATTACATTGACACAGAATAGCGATAAAAAGAGATTGTAATGATGACTGTTAAACATTGAATACAAGTAATAACAAATAGTTGTCAGCAACAAAAATAAAACTACTGTGAATAATCGTCAAACAAAAGTCTTGCAAACTCTTGCCCAAAGTGATTTACATAAACTGATCGAAATTTAAAACAACGATTATTAATCAATGGCAGCTATTGATGACGAAGATTTCGATGATGATTCAGCACCAATATATGAAAACGAAAAATTAGATATACTCATTCGTAAAATGCGATTATGTGAATCAGCAACATTTTATGTAGATACTATATCGAATGGCGATATCATATTAATTTCAGATGAATTGAGAACGAATCGAATGTGGAATTTTCTTCAAATAATTGGAGAAAATTTAATTACAGAAGATGGTGTTAAGTATTTATTCGAAGCATTAGCAGCTAATAAATCAGTAAAAGCTCTTCATTTATGTGGTAATTCATTAGGAAATAGAAGTGTCAAACTTTTCATGAATTCACTTGCGTCCAATACAACGATAGAAGATCTAAACTTAACAGACAACCAAATAACAGATATTGGTGCTCAGACAATCAGTGAAATGCTTCGAACGAATACAGCACTCACCATTTTAATATTACACGCTAATCCATTATCTGGTATCGGTATAACATTAATCGCTCAAGCTCTTCAACATAATCGAATCTTGACAACTTTGAAAATTGGTAGAACTGGTGTGACAGACATGGGTGCTGAAGAATTAGCCTTAATGATTCAATTAAATACAACCTTAAAAAAATTATCACTTGATAATAATAGAATTAGTGATATAGGGATGCAAGCTTTATGCATGGCATTGAAACAAAACCAAGTATTAGAATGTATCGATATTCGACAGAATCGAATATCAGATAAGAGTATTGACGATATCGTTTCTTTGCTTCAAACCAATCAAACATTAAATGTATTGAATCTAGTACGAAATCGATTCAGTGATCAAGGAAAAAATACTTTACGACAAGTGAATGTTATTTTAAGAGTGAAGCTGTAGTTAATCCATTACTCTTCATCTCATACCTTGTCATCTAGAATTACTTTACTAAGTTTGGATATAAAATACTAATATAACATTCTCATGTATACTTTCAAGATGATTACTATTCATATTGCTAATAAATTTTTATTTAAAATTCTTTACGAATATTTTTCAAGAAATTGATTTAGTTTTTTTGAGTATGTTCCGAGTAATTCAATAAGGATGTGAATGAGCATGAACGTGAATATTGTATATAAATCTCACTGACATTCATACCCATATTCTCAATTAAAATAAATGACGTATATGTTATCGGATGACGTAAATATTGCGGTCAAGAAAAGAAAAAAGTCAAAAAGAGAAAAAGGCATACACCTCAATTTTTTTCGGTTCTCAACAACAACAACAACGACCATGATGTCGAAGGTGTTTTTTTTCAGTCAACAAAAGAATGAAAAAATATGCGTAGAGGTGACAAGAAGAGTTGATAAAGTTTCGATTCTTTTTTTTTCTACTATCGTCAACAACAGCACGCATTCGTTAACTGATCACGGCAGTGAATCATGGCAACGGCATCATCAAACAATGAAGAAACTACAATAACACAAAATTCAGATTCATCCAGTAGCTCTGAACTTCAAGTAAGGATGTCTATTACTTGTGTGAAAGAATCATCGATTTTAATAGGAAATGTTCGACGAAACATGCGATAAGAATCAGATACCGGCTTCGATTCCCAGTAAGTCAATCTGTATATCATGCTTTCTGTGATATTCGGTGATAAACCTCTTGTAGAAAATACCGCCGATTATTGGGATATTGATCGAGCTCTTGCATGGACCAACGTATCTAATGAAAATGTACAAGCAAATGACAACACAGAATCTGTGCTAATTCAAGAAGAAAACAGTGAGATCTCAAGATTGTACAATAGCGTACACATTTTTCTCCCTATTTTCTAAGATCCAATTAGTGATGCTGTCCATACGGCTGGTAGGAGGATCTCACAGCTTCGTAATATCGTTATCAATGATCAAGCACTGGAGAACACGAACAACACTAGAGAAGAAGGCTCAACCGACATGGTCAATGGTAATACTACACCATTTCTTTCACAGTCAGCAGGTATGTGAGAAAATGTATATACTAAGAACAATCTTTACGTATTCTGTTGAAGACCAACTACAGGTTCAAGCGTCTGTTAATATGTCAGCTACCGCTGTAACTACAGATAATAGTCAACAGGCAAAAAAACAAAAAAACAAACATATTATGATAAGCTATAATAGGTCATCATTGAACATTTGTCAAAAGATCTGTGATCGTCTTAGAGTAAATCGACATTTGAATTCTTACATAATTTAAGTTCATACATAGGCAGCAGGATATGTGGTATGGTTTGATCTGACCGATATGCGTAGTAATATAATCGATGGCATGGCTGAAGCAGTTGAAAATTCTTATATTGTTCTTTTGTGCATCACTCATGCATATTGTGAAAGTCGTTATTGTAAGTCGGGTAAGTAGTAAAGCTATGCAATATTCTTATTCTATCTAATGCAATTGTGTTTAAATATATGTTTTCTACATAGAGGCTCAATACGCTTTGGAAAAAAGAATCAAGATAATTCCTTGTTTCATGGAAGAGCCATTCGAACTCGAAGGTTGGTTAGGTATCATCCACGGTGCCAACTATCGTATTGATTTTTCTTTACCGGAAGAGTTTGATGAATCATTTAAATTATTAATTCGTGAAATAAAGCATACCGAAGATCAATTAAGCATCAATCCTCGTAAGTTATACTTGTCAGAAAATCTAAAATAATCAAAAATGAATGAATTAATCATTATTATTTCTCATAACCAAGCTTTGAACTTTTCAAGTTTGCTTTAATATTCATAGGTAGTACTTCTCCTGGTGTTTCAATGTCTTCTCCAACGAGCAGAAGACTGGCTCCTACACCAATAACAGTTCCATCTAACACTTATCTGACATTGCATGCTCGTCTCGATGCCATTATTCGTGATTACAAAGATTCAATCGAAAATAAACCTCGTCATGTGAGCAAAGATCAACGGAAAGAACTTGAGAAACTTATCAGTCAACTTCGTCAGCAATTAATTCATGATGCATCATTAATTTTACCAAACAGTCGTACATACAATAATGATCATGAACTGTTGCAACATCTTAATAGATCTCTTGATCTACATCAACTATTGATAGATAGTTTAATACCACCATCTCCTATACAACGAACCCGAGGAAGCGAGCTCCATATCAATACTGATAGAATCATGAAACTGGTGCTTACGGTCCTAGCTTTGTGGGGTGCAAAAGCACTCTACAACAAGACATAAATCACTTGTTTCATACTACACTGTGTTCTTTATTTCGGCTATTGTACTCTTCGTTTTATCTATCATATGCGAAAAAATTATTTTTTATCAATACATGTTTCGATTTGTGAAGATGTGAATGGATTTAATATCCAAATCTACATTCACCTTCATTATAATGATCCTCGTTTATTCGATATTTTCTTTTTCATTTTACAACTCAATTCTATTTAAACCAGAAATTTACGATAAAGTCGATAGAATCTCATATATGAAAATAATACAGAGTGCATTGCAGATATTGATGTGGTTAAATTTCTGCGCTGTATTCGTAACACTAATACATTGCCATTCGCCTATCTTCTTTTTCTCATATCAAAGTTACGTTATTTGATCTGATTTCATTCTTATGTCTTCTTATGATCAATATAATTGCTGTCGTCTTCCATTTTTCTCTCATTTTAAAGTTCAGTCCACTTTTTTTTCGAATAAGAAAGAGAATAGACCATGTGAATGACACTCTCTCTACAGTGTATACGTACAGAATAGGCAAACACACATCGATAAGAACAGAATAAAAGAAGGGTGTTTAACGGGCGTATTTATTTTCTTATCATTTCACATAAAACAATATGTTTTTTTTTTTTTTTATTTATATTCAGATTTATTGTCCCTTTATAACTAGGTTGACAGTTGAAGAAAAAGAAAGAAAAAAAAAGAGAAAAGAAAGGAATAGAGTCCAGAAAGAAAAGTATCACCATAGTCATACTATCACACTTCGTTTGATTTAATAAAAGAAAAAAACAGAAAACAACACATGATCTTTTGAAAAAAAAAAGATAACAGTGAGTTGAAAGAACGACTTACAGTCGTCTTTCGACTCCGAGTGGAACGAATACTCGAATACTCACAGAAAACATGTGTTTATTCTGTTTAGTGGAAAGCCTATTAGTTCTTAAACCGCAGACGTGGATATTTTTGTTGTAGCTTGATAATTTGTTCTCCACCCTCTTCCTCTAAATCTTGTATAACGGTTTGGACGGAGTTGCATATGGTTTCAGTTTCTTTTTTTAATGTTTGATTATAAAACAATATGTTTATCACATTGATTCTTTTCACGTGCTTTGTTAGTCTTATCACCGTATATTTCTTGACTTTAAAATCTCGTTATTCGTATTTTCGCGTTCGAAGTATTCCTGGTCCATCACCCACATTTTTCTTTGGTCATTTTCGTACCATTTGGTCTACAAAATTTTATTCACGTCAACTGCAAGAATGGACACGCAAATTTGGTTCGATCTATGGTCTTTTTGAAGGCACTCGCCCATTATATATTGTTTCCGATGTTGATTTTTTGCAACAAGTATTTGTTCATCAATTTTCATTGTTTAGCTCGCATCGAGTTTCATTTCTCTATCAATTATCCAAATCGGTCCACCTGATCAGTGCTGGTCCATCAAGATGGCGTCAACAGCGACATGCTATTAATCCAGCATTTTCAGCAGCAAAACTAAAGCTTATGGCACCGCTTATTGATCAATGTATTGAATCATTAATGAAGAAATTATTCAAAATGAATAATGAAAATAAAGAATTCAATATCTATGAGTTATATCAAAGATTGACTATGGATGTTATCTGTGAGTATACTTCAAATGTTGTTTTTTTTACTTTTCAATATCGTTTTACTTATATCTAGGTCATTGTGCATTCGGGATTGATACGGACATGCAGAATGATGTTGACAATGATTTAATGACCAAAGCAGCTGTTATTTTCAAACAAGATATCGAACGTATGCCATTGAGTAAATTAAGCTATTTGATGCCATGGTCAACATCTCTTCTTGCTCAATTTGCTCATAGTCAAATAGCTCTATTTCATTGTCTTCACAAAATAGCACCAACAATCTTTCCTGATTTAGTGGAAAAAATACCTCGTCTTTGGCTTATATCAAAAGTTCAAGAAGTAATCGATGTTCGAACAATAGATACTTCAACAACAAAACGAGTAGATCTGCTTCAGACAATGCTCGATGCAGCTGCCACACGGCACGAGGTTGGTGTTTAAAGCTAATGTAAGAAAAGGAAAATTTATATGCTTTATATTCATTCTAGGACAATACTGACGATAAGAAATTGAGCAACGATGAAATCAAAGGCAATGTATTTCTCTTTATGGTTGCCGGCTTTGATACAACATCGACGATGCTTGGATATTGCACTTACGTATTGGCTACACAACCCGATATTCAAAAGAAACTTCAAGCAGAAGTTGATGATCAACATGAGAAAGAGCTCGATTATGATACAGTGACAAAAATGGAATATATGGAGTTATTTCTACGAGAAGTTCATCGTATGTATCCACCTTCCGTAGCAACCATTACAAGAGTATGCGAACAAACAACAACTGTATGTGGCCACACCATTGAAAAAGGTAAATATATTATCGGATATTGTTTGTTAAAAAAACTCAAGTTGATTTTTTTACATATTTCAAGGAAGTATCATTCAACCAGATATATTTACTATTCATTACAATAGTGATTTGTGGGGTCCCGAGGATCCAAATCAGTTTATTCCTGAACGACATTCTACTGAACGACATCCACTGGCTCTCTTAGCGTTTGGCGTCGGACCACGCTCATGTATTGGAATGCGATTTGCTCTAATGGAAATTAAAATGACTTTAGCTCACATACTTCGTCACTATACAGTATTACCTGGCGAACATTTGCAAGAAGGCTTTCAGTTAAATGAAGCATTTGTCATACAGCCAAATGCTATCAATATCAAACTCAACAAACGTTAATGACGATGATCGAACACTTTTAAGACTCTTAGAACGAACTTATAATTATCACACGAGTAGCCAATAGTTTTTCTTCTTTAATTATTTATTCATTAATCCTATATTTATTCACGCTTTCTTTTATTTTTCATTGTACTCTCTTCTTCTTTTCGGTTATATAATTGTGGAGGGATTGTTCAGTTCTTTTTTGAAAAGAACTCAATTGTGTTATTATTCATTTTTTCTTCGATTCAAAGCATACAAACTTCTGCTGGTGCAGTCTCTCCTATGTTCAAGAATTTCAATTAAAAGCTCACAAAGTGTGATCATTATCTCGTTTTTAAGACTCTTATGACCAAGTGATTTATGACTGATCATTTTGTTGCTGCGACAAGATTTCATGAGTGCCGATAAAGAATACCGATGAATCACGACGTTGTTTACGATGTTGAGTCATTTTACGAATCGATCTAAAATATTTAGTGCAACAAGACGAGTTTCGAAATTCAGACATGTAAACATTGTTCGGATAGATGAACAGGACAAAGATGCATGTATATGGTATTAGACTAAAATATTTGAGTATAATAACGATACGATACGCATAGTAAGGATCTGTTTGTCCGCATTGATTATTCATCTGATCAGCAAGGTACCATGGCAATCCGAAAAATAATAAAAATATGACAGGTACAAAAAAATCGCGATGTTTCGATAATTGCTCGTGCCAGACGCGACATTTGTCAGGTCGATTTGTTATATATACTTTCCTTTTCGCTATATTGACCAGCACAATAATGCTAGCAATGAGCTGAAGCAGAGATGCCATCAGAGGATGAACCCAGCTAAAGATTCGATAGATCTGATAGCATAACTGAATGTGATAGATATAAAATAATGTACGAGGTATAACGCACGTAAATATTATACAAGCAAAAGATAATGTAGAGACTATGATTGACCGTTTTCTCGAGGCATATAAGCTTACATCGAAACATTGAATAAACATTCGTTCACATGCGATAAAACTCATAAGCCATAAACATTGGTACAATGATGCAAGTTTGATGATAGTTTGAAATTGTCGATGAAAATTCGTAATTTGAAGGCATTGTGTCAGATCGATAATAAAGAATACCAGTGCTATAGTTGAATAAAATAGAGCAGCCCAACACAATAGAATAAGATAGAAACCAAGATTTGTGATACGAATTCGTCGACAGTAAGCTGTTTGAATAGTAAGAATAATACTTAGAAATAAAACGAATATGTACACAGTTGTAAGAGGCAGATAAATCTGTCGACCATTTGATGTACAAGTAGTAAAAACGTCATATAAGCTAGGAGATATCACTTCATCACTTTCATTGCAAAATATACGATTGTAACATATTAAACATAAACATTTTGAATTATTAATCATTCTTTTTTCTTTTGAATACCTACACTTTATGCAAACGTTCGACTATATTATTTCTCGATTAATGAATGTGTAATATTCTTTTTTCGTTCTCTTCCTGTAATTACGCACAATATTTTTTGCGCATTAAAGGTAAGGACTATTTTTTTCAAATAAATAAACTACAAAATATTTCTTCCAACTTAAAATTCAGAAAGAAACATCTGCGTTCGTTACAGAACGAAAGAAAAAAATATATATATAGGTGTACATGCTTGATTACAAAATAAAATGTACAGGATGTGGATCTGAGAGTATAGTGATCAACTAATACTCTTAACACAATATGACATTTATATATTGGATTTGATTATATCTATTTTCATAAACGGTTTTATATTGAATTGAATTATTAAAGTTTTCCTTTATTATTCGTTGAAAATACCAAGTAGTTTTATTCTTTTCTTTCGATCGATATTTTCTCATTGTCATTTCATTACCATTCCATGTATTTTCAACTTGCTGTAAATCTTCATGAGATAATATTCGATTAACTAAACTAACTGAATAACCCATTGTTAATAATAATGTTTGATTAGTTATTCGATTAATTTGAATATATCGCTTTAAGAAATTTTTATCAAATTTCATATAAGCAAGTTGTAAAAGACTCATCGTCTCATTAATTTTATCAGCATATCCATCGGGAAATAATTTCCATAATGAAAACATATGATGTAAAGATACTAACCCATAAATTCCACTTTCAAAATAACCCGTCATATCTCCACTATGATCCATTTGTTGAAAATTCCTATTTTTTATTAAACTGACATTTAATATTTCAGTAATACATTTACCAATCATTGCATCACCACCATAGATATTCCTATATTTTTTACATTGTTGATTATATTTTGATAATAATGATGCTAATGATCGACTTAATAGAATACCACCACCACCATAAGCATAATAGTCGCCATGACGTTTAATTTGTGATTTTCTGTCAGAAATATTACCTAAATAAATGGATATTGATGAATTATATTGTTGAAGTGTATGTAAAAGATTATTTATAAACCATATTGTATCATCATCACTAACAATAAACCATTGAATAGATTTTGTTACATTTCTATTTTGATTTTGCCAAGCAAGATGAAATAATTCAACATATCTTTCTTCATAATTTGTTATATTTGAAATTTGTATTTTACATAAAATTCCTTCATGAATAAGATATTCTATAATATTTTTATTATTCATAAAATCGTTTTCTTCGAAAATAATAAGACAGTTAATATTAGGAAATGCTGCCCAAAATTTTAAATAATGAATCGTATTGATTATTCGTTTAGTATTAGTAGTAAGTGTGAAATATAATTCCTCAATGATATATTTATGGGTTGTATTATTCATTGTGAATGGAGAAATTGTTTCTTTATATTCGATTAAATCTTTGATGTTCAGTGTTAATGTTGTATTATCATGAGAAAGTTCAAGTTTAACATTCGTTGTTTTATTATGAAAGAATGAAGTTGGAAATTCAATAAGAATATTATTTATCATTCGTTTGATATAATTTTTTTGTTGTTGATAAGATAAAATGCAACAGATAATAATGAATATTATTAATATTCGCTTATTTGAATAATTTGTTTTACATCTAATCATTTCTTTAATACATTTAGTAATAATAAATCTTCTAAAAATAGTATACATAAGAATAATACGAATTGCTGTTTTATAGACAAATTTTAAGATATTATCAAAGTGTAAGTCGGAAACAATCTGTTCATTGGAATTTTTTAATTATGGCATAGTTAGAGATTGTCACGACCATTTTGAGGGAGTGAGTGTCTCTTCTCTACTCACAGCACAATAGTTTCTAATTGAAGCGAAAGTCATATACCTTGTTGAGCTGTATATATTATGTCTTTTCAAAATAATAAAATCGATAAAAATGCCATACTTATTTGTTTTATAACTTTACTTTACTCGGTAAAGTAAACTAAAAGACTTTATTTTAGTTTACTTTTTCAAAATAAAATAAAGATATAGTGTCACCCCTACGCATAGTTTGTTTCAATGTTAGTATAGGCGAAGAATTTAATTACTTTTTTCTTTTTCTCTTGGTAGTGATGCCTGCGAAACTGTAAGACTTCGACAATTGAAAATTTTAATTTATTTTTTGTGATTATGGGCCGGTAAAGAAACGTTAACAGTAGTGAAATAATTCTGATCTTCTTATTTACAACCATACTCAAACGAATAAGAAAGGTTTTAAATGTATAGAGTTACTAAATATTTTCTCATTCTACTTTATAGGCAAAGCTCTTATTAATACTGCAAAAGATAATTATGTTGTTTTCTATTTTCTCAATAAGAGAGATATACTTATGTACATCAAATATTCAAACATAATCAATATATTGTAAACAATACTGATGCATAAGTGAATAAAAATGTAGTTAAAGAGAAGATATCGGCTCATCATCGAAATAAATTCTATACTTCACATTTCATAATTGCTTTCATAAATCACTTAAAACTATCTACGACAGTCAAATGTAGGTGTTTCCTGTTCAGTTGAATATACACCCTGAAGATTGGAAAAAAAATTATAGACATTTAAAAAAACGAATTTGAAATGGCTGTGCTCACAAGATATGAATGATAAAGTAAATTATTTATACTTTTAATGAACTTTATTCGATGTTAATGAAAAATACTTTACAAGTGAGAAAAAAGAATTATTTATTAAAAGTCAATTTATCATCAAAAAACTTGTTTCAGTCACGATCAATATCAAATTTTTGTATTCGATAGTTGTGTGTATCGACAACGTAAAGATTATCTTGTCGATCAAATGATATATCATATGGGAGGGCGAACTCTGTAGATCCTCTTCCACATTCTTTTTCACCAACGACAGGGACACCTTCTGTTGCACCTGGTGACCAACGAGTTATTTGATAAATTCCGATCGTCGACACATAAATATTACCCTTATGATCAGCAAGCACGCCTTTGGGTGTCAACAATGTATCCGGATTTTCATTAGAAACTTGTCCTGAAGCAATAAGAATACCTTCGTCCGCATTTTTTATCCATTTCATCACACGATTATTGAGAGTATCTGCTACATAAACTGAATGATCTTCATCGACAAAGATATAGTGAGGATCATTGAGTTGATTTAATTGATTTCCTTGTCCATTTCCACCTGCTACCACGATACCTTCTATATACCCTTGTTGCCAACGTCTGACTTCATGCGTTCGCCAGTCAGAAATATAAAGATCTCCATTATTATCCATTGCTAAACCGAAGCAAACAATACGATGTATCAATATTTGTTGATCTTGACTATTTTGACGGGGCCATTGTACCACTCGATCATTGGCAAAGTCACAAATGATGAGATATTTCTTCGCTTCATCAAGAATTACATCTGTTGGTTGATTTAATTGGTTCATTCCACCTCCCGGTCCATTTCCACCTGCAACAAGTGTACCATTATTTGCACGAAATTCCCATCTAACAACACGATGGTTGGTTTTGTCAGCAATATAAATACTATAATCATCATCATCAATATGAATACCACTGACGTGATCTAACTGATTTAATTTACTTCCAAATCCATGTCCTCCAGCAACAGTAATTGCATTCTGTTTCCATTTCGTATTTTTATTAATGATGACAGAAGAAGTCAATTGTTCTATAAAATAGTTAAAAAAGCATTTCAATTTTGTTTTGTTTTCTTTCGATCTAAAAATCATTTTGGTAAAAATAAAACATGTTTTGTTTTATTGAACACAATGTTTCGATATCACTACATATAAACTACGAGAATGTAGATGTAAGTGTAGATAGATGAACTATGAATTCGATACTATTCTATAGATGTATAATTATCGATCATCGAAGATTAAACTATTTTATGTGATTATTTAAATAAAATACCTTAGATTGAATAAAGAAAAGCTACTTTCTCGTTTATGAATTAATTCAAGTAAGAAACAAACTAGCTTGGTTGGCCCACGAAACAATATTAATATAGGATATATGTCAGAGCTCACATTAATGCTATTAGTATTGGTATATAATAACTTACACTCATCAATGTAGCTAAGAAAATATTTTCAGTCTACATCTAATTCATAGTGAAATTGGCAAAATTCTAGAATCCACTAGTTTTAACAAAATCATACCGCTTGTTGTTGATGTTGCTATCTCCATTGCTGATGTTTCTTCTCTTTCAGTTTTCCTCAATATAGCAGTAGCTGTTAGAACAGCTGCTGCTATGACAACACAAATAATGAGAAATAATATCAAGACTAATTTTCCCTTGCGAAAATGATCATAGCTAGAATAATACATATTTTTTGATGATTTATTTTTATTCATAATATATACCTACAATCTTGTTAATAGCGTTCTATTTGCGTTAACCACTGCCAACTAAAATATTTAAAAAATAAAATAAGATTATTTTCTTTCTATCTGATACATTACTACATCAGGTCCAACTGTGTTGTTGATATTCATAGTTGTCGTCTTATGTGAGCTTGAATATTTATGAGATTTAATATTCTATTAACTCGTCAATTTAAATCAAAATAAACAACAAGTTTTGATTTGTTATTATTCGAGATGATTAAATCTAACTTCAAAATAATATATATTCCTTACTTCTGGTGAATTCAATAGAAATTATTTTGTATGAGCAAAATAAAAACAAGTCTTCTGTTAAATAATTAGTTTAGAATATTTTGTAGCATTTGAAACAGCAAAAAAATATCCTATATCAATAAAAACATTAATCTTATTTCCGTTTTTTCAAAGTTAGTTCTGAATAAAATATTTGTCATTATTTTTTACAACAGTAAAAAAAGGGAAAGTCAGGGAATGACGTCAAATGTTGCATAAAATAAATTGAGAAAGAATAGAATATTTATTGTTAGAAATATATATTGCATTTAACATTTTCAGCAGGAATCAGCTTTTTTTGAGAAAACCTTACCAGATGTTCATTTTGATGAACACTTAACTTATAGAAAAAAGTACATTTACTGACGTCTTCATAATTTTGTGTTGATTATTTATCGTTCTCTTCTTTGTCCTATTATTTTATGTATACAAGTGACTAAAATTGTGAAATAGTTGACATATCTTTTGAAAAAAACGATACAAAAGATAGCACTGACTTACTTCTTTGCATGATGGTTTTGATTGAATGAACACTGAATTCACTAATCAAGAAGTGGAGTAAGAACGTGATGAAGAATTTGTTGGAGGATTATGGACTTGTCAGAGAAGTAATATTTCATTTTGAAAATAATATAATCGATTTCTATCAGCATTTCAACATTGTATGACTTCAAGATCATTCGAAATTTGCATTACTCCTCAAAGTTTGACATTTTGCAAACAATAATAACAAAAATTTGAAGCAGGACGGCTGTGGGTGTTAGTATTAAATCTAAGTTTCTCCCACACTCACACCCTCTAATTCAATGTCAGTGTATAGTATAGGAGACTAAATAAAATTAAATAAATTAAAAACAGTTAATAAACAATAGAATATTAATTTTACTCATTGCCGTCGAATTAGAACAAGTGACAATAATATTAGTACAGATAAGTACTATAAAGACAAGCAGTTGAATAAATTTAAACAGTACTGCTGTTATTATTTTTACTGGTTATTTGTAAAAGAAGTGTCTTTTATTTCTACGAACGATCAAACACGCAAAAGAAAATCAGCATCTGAATAAAAACTAGATACCATAAAAAGGATTTTCATTGTTTTTCTCGTTTAGTGTCAACAAAAAACATTGTCATTTCCTCTTCTTCTTCATTCAAATGAGAAACTATGGGAACATTTTTCGAGATCGCATGTTGAGATTTCTTCGCAACTTGTCGACGATGACAGAAAGACAGAAGTGATGCACTAGAATAGAGTACGATCGATAGAAGAACACAAATCATTAGTAGTGTTGGAAAATGTTGCGGATTTATGTCCATCACAATACCTAAATAATATCATTCAATGCATACATTCGATTATCGAATTATTCTACTCACCACCTATTTTTTGAAAAATAACTCCACCGAGTGATGCACCACACAAGATCAAACCAAGAAGTAATGGATTGATAACTAATCGTTGATTGATAAAACCAAATGATAATGGAAAAATGGGCGAGAAGATCAACCCAGTGAACGAACCGAGAATAAATAGACTCGTACTTGATAATCCTATAATCCATACAAAAACAATCCATGCTATTGCCAATATCAATCCAGCCATCCAAATTACACTTAATACTATATCAACAGATACAAACAAAGCCACGATTGCACAGATCAAACGACCAATCTAAAACAAACTTTTTTTTATTTTATCTATTCGATTAATAATCAAAGATTTAGCAAACCGAATATGAGAGCCAATAAATAATCATTCCTAACGACGCACTTTTTGTTGAAAGTTCAAACTTCGATGATCCAAGATATGAGAAAAAGAATTTTCCAAAAGTTAAATCATTGGCAGTAACAAAAAACATGTAAACAATCCAAAGAATTGACATAGTGAGACCGTAATAAAAATAACCGTTACCACAAGATCGTGGTGAATACTGAGAATAACTAACTTGAGTGTCAACAAGTGGAACATTGGCCACAGTAGTATATGCTGATTGATCCATTTGAAGAGTTCTTCGCTGAATTCGATGTTCACGAATTGCAAATAGCGAATGACCAATGGCTATCAAAAAACAAAGACTTGCTGTGATCGTGTAAGGAATACTGATCTTCGATGAAAATGGATTTTCCAATATTGAAGTCGATGTCACATTGGATACAATGATTTCGTTCTTTTCAAGGAAAGGAGCCACAAGAAGATTGACAAAGACAGCACCGAATCCAAACCCTAAATGAACTGTATTCATTGCAGTAGACGGATGATCATGCCACATTGTTAGAATAAGATTTGTACCGCCTAAAATAATCATCTATATACTTTTTTTATCTCCTAAACGAAATCTACCTAGATCGGTAAATCCTTGTGAGATTCCTTGAATGAAAAACACAATCGATAGAAGTAACAATGATCGAATCGATGGTGTGATAAGGATAACTAAAATCATTGATTTTTTATTCATTAAAATAAAATAAAATCTAACTTACCAATAGATGCAATTAAAAATGCGAATGAAAGTAAACCATCCGAATATCGTTTAATAAAGCCTTGTTTGACTGCTCCCAGTATACTTCCAGACATGTATCCAGCACTTCGAGCAGCTAAGATAGAACTAATTCCACTGAAAGTTGTGCCTGTTTGTTGAGCTAGAATCTTCATAGTTGGTCCAACTATTTCCGCATGAACTCCCTAATATTAATCGATAACACTTTCAAAGAGAAAGACTTATTTGAAGAAAACAAACCAGAATAATCCATGTGATCACTAGAAAACCTGTTTTAATGAATGCCCAACGTCGAGAAACACATACGTCCAGATCTTTCGTTTGTTTTATCTCCACTTCATCGACTGATTTTGAAGTCATTTCTTTGTGTTAAAATCTACAAATAGACAAGTATTATCGATGAAAATGTAAATATTCAACTCAAATCAATATAATATTTCGTTTTAGACATCAAAATTGAATGCAACCGCATAGATACGTCGTTTTGCGCTAATATTGTGATAAAGCCATGCGTAATGACGATTTACATCGAAGAGGTAAAGAAATGGATTATTCTTTTCTTATCAAAACCAAATCAAGTCTATTATTTGCTCTTATTGATATCCTTGTAGAGAACGAACGAATAAAGGGACTGAGATATAATGCTATACATATCATTAATAACACGAATATTTACTTATTTGAAGGAGAAAGAACAAAATAATCTATAAAGCAACGTGTTATGATTAAAATCATTCGGTTTTTTATATTCTTCTCGTATAACATATTTTTATTTCGGCGCAGACATGGATCATATAAAATCAGAGAAAAATAACACCTTCGTATCTGTTTTTGCTTACATTCGCACCCAGATAATGCATTATTAGGGTGTATGTATGTTTTTTTAGTCTTACACTCTCAAGACTTATTCCAACACGTAATCAGTATATTAATAAATTGCAGCAATTCATTTTTATAAGCCAAATATTGTAGTCACCGGCTATGTTACACATACAATGAATCAATCAATCGAAGCAAATATCACAACATGTAAGATTTATTTTAAAAAAAAGATGAGAGACATAAAATATTAATTTACAAAAAGCGGATGATTATATTTGAGGATTAGCATGGTTAAGCGTATAAAGGACTAAAGCAACTATTTATGTTAAACATATAATTGACAAAAAATCGAGTGTGGATCTAAATAGAACACACACATCCTCACCCTCAAGAGGATTGCTTTGTTTTTAAGATACGGATTATGTAGGTACTGTTCTTTGACGTTCAGTTCTGTTGTTTGGTTTGATTAATCAATGCCACAGTCGAATTAAAAGTGCTTTGAAATCTCTACGAAATGTTTTTGAAGCAACTATATATATGTAAAAAGGAGCACTATAATTTAAATAAAGAAGTAAAATTGCTATCATAGTAAAGAAAGTTTCAATTGCAATATGGTCAATACTCTTTGTAATACCCATATAATTAGTGACTGCAGTCTCTAAAACAATAAATGGATAACCAGACATTGTCATCACATAAAAAACAACTTCACCAAGAACCATAATGAGAAGATCCCGATCTCGTCGATGAATTTTATTTTTACTCGGTTTACTATGTGTATTAATACTCACAGGCATGATTCGTCCATGCAAGTGTCGTAACTTACGGTAAGCCAAGAATCCAAAAATCATCATTGATACTGGTGGAATCACACATACAAAAATCAAATAATAAATTTCAAACACAATATAGTAGAGTCCAAATTGACCACAACGTCCATTGTTGATTGTTACAAAGATTAGTAAATGACTAGCAAGAATATGCCATATGATGATCATAGCTATTATCATCTTCCATGCCACACATGGTCGAGCAATCCAACAGAGACGAGTATTGGTAGTTGCCACTGCGTAACGATCGATACATGCGAATATTGCAAAATATCTAGCTAATTGACCCCAAACATGTATAAAATAATAGCGTAGCTTACAAAAAACAAGAATACTATTTCCTGGATCACTATGATTGAGAGTATAGATTGTTGTTGTGAAGTTAAATGTAGTATTGATAGTATTCACAACTGCTGCCATGAGTAAATATATAGCACATGAATTCTGACGACGACGTACAAACATAATTATAATGAATATATTCCCAATGATACCGAAACCAAATATGATTGGCGCTGCATATTGATAAATATTTGCTTGTAAAAGAAATAATAATGAAGATAGAGCTGTCATTTGTTTATTCTATGGTGATAAGAAAATGTGTGTGATGTTTAGAATTTCTCAGTCTGATGAAACAAGCTTCTAGATCAATGATGATGAGATTTTTATTTTTGTCACATATATATATACATATATGTCATGTGATTCTTTGGAAAGTCCAAAAGCCGATCTATCTCTCACATGTTTTAACAATCCGATTTGTGGGTTTTCATTCTAATTTAATAGATATTATACGGTGCTTAATCCTTAGATGATAGACTTATTTTCTTGAAAATAATTAGCAAAAAAGAAAATCTTTTGAAAAAGCTGATTATTAATTTTTAATTAACTTCATTTATCGATCTACATTTATCACAAGTATGCATGCAAAACGTTCTATAAGTTTACAAAAACACATGACAAAACTATAAATAAATATTTGACATCTAACTGAGAACTTTTGTCTTAAAGAATTTCTAATTATAGTTCTCCTAGCAGTCTTATATTCAGCAATCTCTCTTTTTTTTATCAACATTACTCTTCTCCTCGCTTCTAGTTTAGTGATATTACTTTTTCGACAATTACAAAAGTAGAAAAACTTATATTAAAATTACAACAATGCAGATCATTATCATTTTACTCAACTAGTGTCTTTCTAATTATTTATCTATACATACGACAAACGAAGGAGAGGAAGAGAACATACAATTGGATGTTAATTTTCATGTGTTTATTTTTTTTCTGCAAATGAACGTTTGTATTCTATAAAATTACTCGCCACCATTCATTATTTAAAATAAAAAAAGCAACGTGACTTGTGTTTATGTATATAGAAGATAGATAAAATTCTTAGGTGCAGTTTCATTTAATATAAAATAGAGAATCGGAATTTGTTTATCTAAGAATCATTCATTTGATGGATTGAGTTCCTTGGAAAAATTTGCAATATAAAATGGGCTTCCATTAATAGAGACAGAGCGAAACTTCATCTATTTTAAAACTTTTTTGAAGTACACACTGTTAATGTCTCACCATTTCCCTCTTGAATTGACTTGATAATGATGAAATAACAGAAAATAAATATAGTAAAAACCGATAAATACTTTTTTCGTTTATTGTAAAGTTAAATTTTACACATAGGAATTGATTTGTATTTGTTTGCTATTCGATATATGAATAATTATTTATTGAAAACTGATAAATGAATTTGAATATAAAATTAGAAATAACAAAGCTTTTTTTTCTCTAAATATAAATATTGTTTATATGACTATATAAATTTGTTGTAATTTTCTAATTCCATAAATGTTATTCATAAATATATTGCCTAGATGCATACTATCAACTTTGAAGATTAAATTTTATAGTTGCGTACAATATTTTAATTATATTTTCTATGACTGTCTCATGTGGAACGTTGTCTATTAATAGTGAAGAGACATTTCCGATATATAAAATGTAAACCTTAAGAGAAACGGCGGAGAAGTAAATAAAGAAAGTAAAAAAGACACTAATTTTGTCTTTTGTGTAAGAAAGAAATATGGGATGAAACAAACATTTTTTTCATTCTATATTGAACCTAAGAAGAACAGTGCGTCTCGTCAATAACATTTTCTTTTTTCTATATAAACAAGTTGTGTTTTTTCCTATCTAACACATAATTATCTAAACGTATTCAATTCAATATCATATCATATTTCTAGAATACAAATAAAAATGTTAACTACAAATACAATGTTAAATCTTCCATTAACAAAACAACAAAATTTATCAAAATGTCGAATATGTAGCGCTCCTGCTCAATATGCAAACTTTGGAACTATTTCATGTCATTCATGTAAAATGTTTTTCAAACGAAATGCTAATATTGAACAAGTTAGTTTTGATTATCTCTTTTTAATTTTTAAATAAAAATTACCCGTATGATTTAGAAAACATTTACATGTAATTTTGATGGCTATTGTGAAATAAAACGGGGTAATCGTCATATGTGTGCATCATGTCGACTTAAAAAATGTTTTCAATATGGAATGACTACTGACAAATTTCGACCACCAAGGCCGACGAAATCAAAAACAAAATTATTAGTTAAAGTAAAATCACGAAATCAATCAGAAAAAGTAACATAATATAAATGTACGAAATATTTTTCTTATTTATTTTTTTAGTTACCGATATTAAACTCTTTAAAACCAGATCATTCATTATTGACTACTAGTCAGTGGACACTTCTCTCAAATTTATATAATAGTTATGATGAATCTCAACTTTCATTCCTTGGTAAATGTTTAGTTGATACACATAATTCTTTACAACCAATGAATGTGACATATCAAAGACTTGTAGAAAAATTTTTATTATCTATTTATGAAACAACAGGAAAATATCTTTGTTTGAATGATGATATCTGTAAATTATCATTTAATGATCGTTCCATTTTACTTCCTACTGCTGCAGATAATATATCTTGCATAACTTCTATGTTTATTGTACATCATTTTGATTTATGTAGTCTAGAATCTTTTTTGAAAATTATGACAACAAAGTATGACAATCGTGCAATCTCTCTTTCTCTATGGACAATGAAATTTATTAATCCAGATATTATAATATTTAAATTAGCACTTTCATTATTTGCTTTAGCAAAAACTACTTGTTTGTATTCTCCAAATATTCCAATAGATTCAACAAGTTCTTCTAGAATGTTTCATCTTCAAAATAAATATGCAGAAGTTACATGGAAATATCTTAATTATAGATATGGTTGGTATGAAGCTGTTAAACATTTTCATAATATCATGTGTTGGCTTATGGCTTTGATTATGTTCATGTCCCATTTACAAACTTTTAGTACACATGTTGATAGTATTAATTCACTTGTTGAAGTAACTGAACTTACACTTATATTAGATGATGTTGATGAAATAATCGATACAAAATAGAAGTCAACGAATTTTATGTTATATGTGCTTATTGTTTGTTTTATAGTTGAATCTTTAAAATATATACAAGCAGAAATAAACTCAAAGTATATTTATTCTACAGTATTGATCAAATCTTTATAGAATGTAAAGATACATTTATGTGTATACGTATTAAACTTTTCATGTCATTATCACGCTTAAGTACAGGACGCAGTACTGGTTCAGCAATGTATGGAAATATGCTAGTTGTGCCAATACTAATAACAGCATCTAAATCTCTGTTTATTATTTCATAAAGTTGCGTTACCGCATGTATTGGTAGCATCTCACCAAAATAAAAAGATACGTGGTCGTACGAGTGCACCACAATGTTCACAATTTGGTAGTACTTTTACACCTTCGAAATTAGTTACATGTTTTTTATAATTACAAGAAATACAAAATAGATCTTGAATATTTCCATGAATTTCGATACAAGAGCAACGAGTGCTTTGTGTGCAGCATTGAGTTTAGCGGAACGACAAGCAGATTCGATTTGATACATATATATCCAACAAATGTCCGATCGTGTTTGAATTGTATGATCAGAAAGAGCCTCTTTAATTTTCATTCTATCCTCAGTCTCTTTTCCATCGCTATATAGACTGCCGACGCCACGATATGTTGATAGTTCAGAATCAGCAAAAATACATGCACTAGTAATAACTACTACACGTTTAGTATGCCGAAGTTCAGTAACAGCTTTCTTCTAAAACAAAATATTCAATAAAGATGAATATTAACATTATAATATAGAACTAACGTGAATAAAAAATTAAGAAAATTATAAATAACTTTCAATTTGGATTATTGTCTGAAGGTAAATTAGTAGTGCTTTTTTTAACATAAATAGCATGTCTTCATATACAAATAAAAATTACATTTAAAACAAAAAAAAAAGATCGGCTCTCAAAAGATTAAATAAAGATCCATTAAAACAAGATGATTTTTCAAATTAACACTAAAACTATATTCATAATTTATCATCATACTTATTTTCACACGCCGAAGAACGCCTACTAAACCGTGGATAACACTTTTTTTATTGAAACTAATTTAAAAATTGTATTCATTTTAAAGTTAATATATAATTAAATGTAAAAAAAAGTTAAACGATTTTGTTATTCTAATATTTCCAAAATATTAATAAAATTGATAAATAAGAAATATTTCTAGTAATTTTGATTTTAGTATAACTGTCATAAATAATATTGCTATATATCGACAGAAATAAAAATAATTATTACCCTCTTCCTTTTTTTCTTTGAAATTTATTTTTCTAAACATAAAAGAATAAATTATCTTGAGGATGTAATTGTAGGTGTAGGTGAGAGATGTTGGCATTCACTCCAGCCTATTACATCAGCTGATAATCAATTATTAGACAAGTTTATACTTATTTTTCAAGAAAATAAATTCGGCAAAATAGGAGTATTTGTAAGTGGTGACGACAGAGTCGCCAAATCTCATCAGATAAAGACAGAAGGACTAACAAACTTACTTCCTTCACAATTTATAATCTCATTCAAATATAAATCGATCCGTTTTCAATTGTGATAAACATACAAAAACTATTGTTGGGCCATACATCCTATCAGCTGATTTATTGCTTGTAATTGTATTAGAAATTGTTTGCAGATCATATTCTCTTATTTTATTATATTGATTTCTAACAAATTCAGCATGATTTTCGATGAAACATGAGTTTTATTAAAACTCTTCCTTAAAACTTTTCACCACACATGTTGAGACACATCTCTGCATGTAGCATTGGTTCCGTAAAATTGTCAGATTTGACTGACGACATCGTTTAAATACTTCCAATAATATTGTTCTATTCAAATCATTCTCAAAAGCATTTTTTCCATCGTTCAACGATATGAATGACTCTGTTAGACATATTACTCTTATTATATATTGCCCTACGATTTAGTTAAAAATCTTTGCGTTTCGATTCATATATATGTTTTATTCAACGCAAATGTTAGTATAATGTCAATATTCAAATAAAAAACACTCAAAATCAGTATCTTTGGAAGGAATAAAGGAAAATGTTAGTTGGGAACAAAAAAAAAGGTTAGTTTCATATCTTGATTAATAGCATGATTATAAAATAAAATAAAATGATTTCAAGAAAAATTTCAAATGTTCAAGACAAGAGAAAGTTGTCTTTAACGTCGAAGAATATTTTTCATTCGTTGTTGATGTCTTGCTTTTGCAGCAGTGTTTGATGGTTTGAACATATTTGAGAATTTTGTGAAAGCAGCATACATTGCCAAAGTATGTATAGGCATAAAAGCAACCATCATAACAGCTGACATAATTGCAACTGGTTGTTTACATGCATTTTCCTAATACACATATATTTATGTCTAGAATATTAATCATAATTGCATAAGAACTTACGAAATCTGCTGGATAAAAAACAGGAATGGTCGATTCAGTTGTTACGCCTGTGGTAGTTGGACCTGCTGTTGTTGGAGCTAGAATATAAATTAAACAATTATAAAGTATTCTATCAAAAAGGAATATTTTATTGAAAATGTCATTTCTCACCAGCTGTAGTTGGAGGTGTAGTACTGGCAGTTGTTGTAGTCGTTGAAGCATTTGTACTAGTTACTACTATTCCACTTGTTGTACACTATGGAAAAGTATAATACTAAGAATGAAATAATAATTTAAATAAAGTTACTGCAGTATTGATTGAAGTAGTAGTTGTTCCTAGGCTTGTAACTGTATGAGTTGTTGGTGGAGTAGTAGTAGTTGTAGTCGTACTTGAAAGTGCTGGATTCCAGATATCGAATCGCCAAAATGTTTTATCGGTAATGGGTGCCGATTCAGCATCTACATAGTTACATCAATTTTGACAAAATATTTAATTTTTCACTTTCACAAAAAAAACACTTACGACAAAAGACACTTCCACTAGCAAATCCACTATCCATTGTAACATAATAGGATTGACCAGGTGTCCATGTTATAGTTGTAACAATTACAATTGTATATCCAGTATAAATAACATTTGGAGAATATCCAGAATCATAACATAGAACTGTTGCATTTGTAGAGTCCAAGTGAAAACAGATATTTGTTCCATTACGAGAAGGACGACCAACTGCACTTGTTGCTGTTTAATTAAAGTAGAAGATGAAGAATATCAAATTAATTTAGGAAAAAAGGCAAATTTTATTTCGAAACAATGCCTACCTTGTATGGAAAATAGTGACTGATTTGAAAAGACAGTACCTATAGGACTTGCTGATCCTTGTACCATTCTAGGAACAATTAAATTCGGTGAGGCATAGTCAACTAGATATGTGATACACCATGGATCTGATTGTAGACTACTATTATCAATTGCACCAGCACAAAAACCTTGAGGACCAGCTTGTGTTGCGTTGGGTGTCCATGTCAATGTCATTACCCACATATCTATGATATTAGATTTCGAATTGAAAATTTTTCATATTCTAACAAGCTGCGATCAACTACTTACCAGGACTTGGATTACTAATAGCACTATGTGTCATTCCGATAGGTGAACTAGTGACCAAATCAACAATTGTTTGACCAGGACAATATGTTTCTATAGTTATAGTTTCAGTAAGCTGAACACCTACAATATGGAATTCATATAGTAGCAAAGAAAAAGGTATGAACTGTACTTACCAATTGGAACTCCAATACAAGCTGAAGAGGATTCAATAGATAAAAGAAAATATAATTAAATGTGTGATATTAATTTAGAAAAGAATACACATTCATACCTCTGTTTGGACGGAGACCAGTAATATTTGGACGATGTGCACATGCACTAGCGGAAGCTTTATATCCATAGAATAGGAACTGTATTGGAACCGAACTCATTGGAGTCGTGGCGACAGCGTTGAAATAATCTTCGATTTGTAGTGCACAAGCATAATAGAGATTAGCAGTTGGTAGAATGAAAGATAACGTACAATTGGATGGGATGAGCTGTGTTCCAGAAGGCAATCCGTGGCAGATACCTTCACATTCATCAACTTGATTGAAATTGTACGTAGAATTTGGATCGGACCAACGGCATAACAATATATCAGTAGCATCATTATCTGCCATTTGTACAACATGAACTATTGATGTATTTACTGGGTAAAATACTACTGGCAATGTGTTTGTAACAGGACTGCTATTGGTAAGGTTGTCGGGTCTCGGAGCTAGATTCAATCGATTGGCAATTGACCACGGTTGTCCTCCACCCTTCAAGAGTGAGCTAAACCATGCACTCGAGTTAAAGCCAATTGTAATCGATGTTGTGTAAGGCAGGGTCAAAGTAGTGTAGCGTTCGCCAGCCCATGATTCTATTATCGGGTTTAAATCACAATCTGTAGTTGTCATAACAGTTGAAATTCCACCTGAAGGATAGGTAGAACTTGTGCAGTTTTTTAAACAGAGTAAAGCAGAAGAGACTGGAATAGGTGATTCAAGACCGACATCCGCTTCCGTGCAATTATGTGAAACAAAACTGGCCCATTGTCGATTCCAAAAGTACCTTTGATGTATGAGAACTTGTACAGTGGTACCTGTTACTATATTGTTTAACGGACGCCTAAGAAAAAGAAGAACGTAAGAAGTAAAATATGCAAGATTGATTAGAAGAACAAGTAATATTTGAGTATACTGACCATGAAATAATACCACCACGAAAATGTGCTCCATCAAGTACAGTATCTAGTGTACATAAAACTAGAAGGAAAAAGTACAAAACCCGCTCCATTTGATCAGTGTACAGTTGTTGTTGGTTCTTCTCTTTCTTCTTCTTTGTGTAATGAAATGCACGATCACACAGTAAGCTGCGATAAAATGTTTGTGTTTCTGAAATGGGTATAGAATTTTTTTTTCTCTTGCTTTTTATACGTGTATGTGTCTGTTTTAAGAATCTTCCAGAATCATGTATTAATGCTAGGCCATGAAATCTTTGATTTTCGGCGAGAGAAAAAAAGAAAAAAGTTTGACGTACGATTTTTCAACATTAATGAAAGTAAAACCTTAAGCAATAGAGAACGTTAAATTATTGTTTATTTAGTCAAATTCAGCTCGCAGACTTCCCAATGAATAATAACACATGACATTCTAATAGTAAACAACATGTAAATATTTTTAAATCTATTGTTTCTATACTGTTTTGATGTTGTGAGGAAGTAGACAGTGTATAGGTAGCTATAGTTCGATGTATTTTTCTGGCGCATAACAACGATTACACGCATAGACCATTCAATGTTCGCAAGATTATTATGGTAGAGAATGCTTTAGTGATCCTCCGACCAGAGATTTACAGACCAAAAACCTTAGAACTCAGATTCTTTTCGAGTTTACGGTGAAAATATGAAAGTTTAAGAAAAACAATTTGAAGATCTGGTAAAAAGACATATATCGTGGTAGATTCTGATGTGTAGATTTTTAGGCTATTAATAGAGGTATCTTCATGTTTCTATAAGAAAAAACATTTTGTATTAAAATACTTTTTTCATAATAATAAGTTTTTTGGAAAATGACGTCTTAAATACAAATAAATTCTATTCTTAATAATTATATTAATTAACAAAATAGTAACGGAGACGCCATACTGTATTAAAAAGACCAAATATATCACAAGATTCAGTGTAAAAAGCTCTACAATTTATGTAAGATTGTTTTTAAAGTGGTCAGTATTTAGATCTATCGAATTTCAATTCTAGAAAAAAGTTGTTTTCGATACACGACTAATGCGGTTTTTTTATTTACTATTAAAAACTTTTATTTAAAAGAAAAAAAAACATTATAAGATGCAGAATGAAAAACTCTACAATGTACAAAAGAAATGTTTATTCTCTTTGTCGTCAAGAAAAATACCGCAAAAATAAACTATTTATTTGTCTTTTTGCTTGTTTATGTGCCAGCTCTTCACTGATCAGTTGAAGATTTATGTGAAAAGAAAAGGATTTTATAGGATGCGGGTATGGGTGTGGATGAGAGCAATATATCCATCCATCGTACAAGCAAATTCAGACTCGCATCCATCCTCCAGATGTTCTATAAAAAATCTTGCCAGAAATTAAAAAATGATCGGGAATCCGAATCTGATGTTAGTTTCATTAACCAATTGATTATTAATTAATAAGATAATAACTATTGACCATTTCCATAATACTTTACAAGAAATCATCCTGGATGCGGAGTTGTAATCGGACACTGGCTTGTATTAATTAAGCATTAATTAGCTATCAAATAATTTCTAATATTTTCTAAGAAATTCAGCTAAAGTTGCTTGAAGATCTGGATGTGAGTGAGAACAATCTGCTCATCTGTAAAGGGCTCGCATTCACACTCGTACTCACACCGCACGCTATAGCGAATCCTGTGAACTTCGTCGAATGACACTTTCGTCGAAAAGTATTTCGTCTGCAAACCAATTCATTGACAATCAGAGAAGGCATAAATGATTTGAATAGAAATGGAGTGTGGGTCCAGGGGTAGTCGTAAGTAATTATCAAACGCCCATTAGCACCAGGACTCGCACCGAAACACACCCATATCAGTCACATTCTTAGAATATTTTTGTGTAAACACATTTTTATTTCAAACCTAAATTGAATATTTTCACTCTTACATGAAATAGAAATCAAGAGAAAACTTTTCAGCATAAATAACAAAATAATTATTATCGCAAGGCAAATTAATAAAGAGAAAAATAAGAGAAAAAAAATAATTATACGATGTTAATATAGTGAAAGAAAAGAACGAACATATATGTATAGGATTTCTCGCATTTTTATGTCTTATAACAAATCTTTAGTATACAACATAACAGTATAATTATTTATTGTAGACAAGTAATCACCAGTTTTGAAACTTTGTTTATGAAGTGACATAAACTTGAGCAAAAGTTGAGCTATTCGATTCCGCAGAAAGATAGAACTTAATCGCATAATTATTGTATGGTGCAACTGTGAATGTTTGGCTTAAATAATCACTTGCACCTACTGATCCATCTAAATAACAATACGAGGCAGTATGCGCGCAAGTTGAATCAGCATGACCAGAATATGTCGCATTGCGAGGATTGCAATATATCCAATCAGTAGTATCTCCAGTTTCGAAACCACCGTTAGATAAAAGTTGATGTCCGGATTTGTCCATTATCGAAACATCGTCCAGATACCATTGAAATGGATCATCACGTAACGCGAACATAATTGTAGCTGAAGTAATATTGGGTGCCGTATAATTGAATGAGTATTTCGTCCAAGGAAGATTTGAAGTTAGAGACAGGTAAAGAAGCTGAGTTGTGTAAAATGTACCACCTGTACACATATTACTAATAGTACTCATGGTTGTCGTACTCGTAGTACTCGTAGTAGTACTGGTAGTTCTCGTGGTACTAGTAGTTCTCGTGGTACTCGTAGTA